GAATAACAGGTGAGAATGACATGTTGATAGGAAAAACACAAATGAACTGACAGCTAACTGAGGGCAGATGAATAATGGCACAAATAAACACTGGGTGAGATTGCATTAGGGCCTAAAAGAGCCAACCCGGCCCGAACCCACTGTTTTGTTTTGTTTTTTTCCCAAACCTGACCTGATCATTTAACTGTAATTACAGGCCATCCATTATCTTTTACCCACTTCTTACGTTTTGGGTCACGGGGGTCACCGGTGCCCATGTCCAGCAATCACTGTGTGAGTGGCGGGATTCACCCTGGACAGGTCTCCATTCCATCACAGGGACACAGAGACAAACGAGAAAAACAACCATTCACTCTCTCACTCACACCTAGAGACAATTTAGAGTTACCAATCAGTCTAACATGCATGTATTTGGTCTGTGGGAGGAAACCAGAGTACCAGGAGAAAACCCACGCATGCACGGAGAGAACATGCAAACTCCACCCAGAGAGGCCCCTGGACTGGGGTTTGAACCAGGGACCTGCTCACTGAGAGGCAGCAGCTCTACCAGTTGTGCCACCGTGCTGCCTGGTACCAGCTTAAAGCTAGAAGAAAAAAAAAAAAAAAAAACTATAAACAAAAAAGTAAATACAAGACAACAGGTCCCACCCCACCAGGCCAAAGTTACAAACATTAGACAACAGTTAACAACAAAAATTTGTTGTGTCAGGTTGAGGCCAGTGGCTGCGGCCTACACCATCGAAGCTCATCCTTGTGACAGAATGAGAGAGTGTAAAAAGAGCCCCAAAAAACTAGGGCGGTGTCAGGGTTTCAGGCAGGTCAGGACAGGAGAGAACCCAGTTGTGCAGGCAGGACTCAGACAGGTGTACAAAATAAAATACTTTTAATAATAATAAATCAAAAAGCTGACATGGCAGCAAAACTTACAAAACAGATTCAGGAACGGGATCAAACAGGATCAGACTTACAGGCAATACCCAACGACGAACCGACACTGACAGGACCAATGAAAGACAAGTGTTTTTAATACAAAAAACGCCAACCTTCAAATAATCATGTTCAGTTATGCACTCAAT